TTAATCAGATAAAAAAAATTCAACAGATAGATTAAGGGTAAAATTGAAAAGAAAATGTCCTCTAAAATAATAAAATGTACTTCTCGCCAGAATATTTCACAAAGAGTGTACTTCTCACCCAAGAAAAATACTCATGGGATCTAATGCTTTACACCCTCTTTAAATAAGACTTTTCACCAAAATGGTTCATTACACCAAGACCTACTCAATTATTAACAAACATCAGTTTTACTTCTTAATCTATGAACCTATATATATTGACCTCTTAACTATGAAAGTAGTATAAATACACCTATTTTGAAGTGGTCGGGAAGGGGTGAATGTAATACATTTTTGTAGTTAAAGGAGTCAAAATGCACAAGTTCATAGATTAGGGGATCAAAGTGATATTCGCTTTTAGTTTAGGGGGTCTTGGTGTGATTAACTCAAAACAAAATGTATGGATTACATTTATTTAAGATATAGCCCACATAACACTAAATTAATTGAACCAAGAGGTTTTGGCCTATGTGGCTAACTGTTTGACTACTAAATCTCTCTTAAGGAAAGTCTTGTATTTCACTCTTAGAAATGGAATGAGAGACAAAACTTAAGTGATTGCAAGGAGTGAGTATAAGTTAAACTCCCCTTATATACTAATCTAACAATGAACTATTAAATTTCGTCAATAAAAAATAAATAAATTAAATATACATTATACACTCACTTTTGGGATATGTTTACAAAGGTAATTGCTTGTATTGTGAAAGTAAAAATTAAGAAAGAAAGCCTTGTTAACATATAGTAGGCAAGAATTGCTAAAAAAAATAAATAAAAACATAGAAGTAACTGTAGACACCCCATTTTTGACCGTCCTCAAGACTTGGTTGTGCTTGCAGGTACACCCAATAACTAGTTCGACTGCTCACTAAGTACTTGACTGTCGCGGCGGAACGTCACCGGTTCGAGCTTCCCGAACCCTGTATCTTTTTTGCCCTTTTTTTTTTGGACCTTGACTAGGTCCTTTCAAAGTGACCTTCTTGGTGCACTGCCGGCCATTTCCTTGTGCCTGCCGGCCACTGATGAAGCCCTGCTGGCCATCAGTGAGCCACTGCCGGCCATTACTGATGGCCAGCACCCCCCCTGTCTCAGCTGGTTTTCCTCCAGATCTTTTGAGCCAGCTAATTTTTTGTTTTCTGCCCTCTATACACGTGTATGGAGGGATGGAGCTCTTAAAAAGTTTCTTGAAGAAGATTCTTCTTGCTCTCTTCTATATAAGCAAGAGGGCTCCCTCTATATCAGAGGTTCAGCACTTTGACAAGAGAGATAGCTCTCTCTCTTTCTATATATATATTTCTTGCTCTCTCTCTATATTATTGTTGTTTTAGTCCCTTTTCCTTGCACTTTTGCACTACACCTCCTAGTACAACACCTCCACCACCCATACCATCACCTTGGAACTGATTTGCAGAGGTTGAAGACTCACTTCCTTGGTCCAGAAGTTGCTGCATTGCTGTGCTACAAGGGTAAATTCTCATTTTCCCCTTTTTTTGCATTATTTTGCTCTATACCTTAGCTCCATTTGCAAGCATTTTCGAGTTTTGGCATAAACTGAAGAGTGTCTTATTTTGAGCCCCTCTTGAAGTTTGATTAAGGATACTTTTCTGTTTGAGGTCATGTACCTCCTTGTATGCTCCATCCCTCTTTTAAGGCTTATTTTGTATCATATCTTAGCCTTACTTGCAAGCATTTTCGAGCTTTATCATAAACTGAGAAAAGCCTTATTTTGAACTCCTCTTGAAGTTTGTTTAAGGTCTCTTTTCTGTTGGGGGTCATCTCTCCCCTTGTATGCTTGTTTGCATCTTGTTTTGAGCCTTGCTCCTAGGCCTTTGTTTCATGCTTTGTTTGGCCTTCTAGCCACTGAAATTCAGTGGATTTTTAGTGGCTAGCATACTGTTTTGAGAGCCAAAATTAGAGGGGGGTGACCCCCTCTCTCCTTGTCTTGTTTGTTGGCCTTTTTGGCCTTCCAAAGGGGCTCTATTTTGCATGTATTGGATTCATGTTTCAGGCCTTATTTTGTGAGTTTTGAGGTCTGCCTAAGCTCTGTCAAGAGCCCATTTTACCATATTTTGTGTCCCCCATGCATGTTTAGAGCAACCCTCTTCAAGGTTTTTCGAAGGGACCTTTCATTGCATGCTTCATTGACTCCTTTCAGGCTCTTTTGGTGGGTTTTAGGACCCTCATAAGTCATTTCCAGAGTTGATTTTGCCATGTTAAGTGTCCTTGTTGCATGTGTAGAGTAACCTCTCTTGTAGCCTTTCAAAGGAACTCATCATTCTTGCATGTGTGGGCTTCATTTCAGTGGGTTTTTGGGGTTTATTTGACATGCCATGTTTCTGTTTTGGGCTGATTTGGTGACCTCCCTTGTGCTTCATATACATGTAATGAAAACCATGCTTACTAGCCTATGTTGCATGTTGTTTTAGCTCTTCATGTTAGCACTTTTTGGCTATGCTTAAAACTGATTTAGTGCATGTTTAGGACTGCCTTGGCTCTGTTTTCATGCTTCATGTCCAAATAATGCTTGCTTTGTATGGTTATAGTTCAATGCATTTGCCTAGTTTTGAGTTTCGAGGCCTATTTCATGCATTGGGTGACATATTTCCATGATTCGGGACCATTGAGCATCATATCTCAGAGCTGGAAATTGCATGTTTGTATGCCATCTTTTATCCCTTGCCATGGTTTGGTAGAGTGGCATTTGATGCCTTAGGATCGGTCCCTTGCATCGTGCATGTTTGCATGTGTCTCGGTTGTCTCATTTCCATCATATGGCCACTGATTTGAGTGTGGCTGAGGTCCGCTCATATTGGTGTAAGCCCATCATGCATTGTGTATGCCATTTTAGTCCATTGCATTGCATATGTTAGGTTGCTAGTTGTATTGTGTATGCCATATAGTTTATAGCATTGTGTATGCTAGTAGCATGTTGCGTCTCATCCTTGCATGTTTGCATGGTTAGGTCGCATTGCATTAGGATTGCATGCTAGTTGCATTTGTGCATGTCATGCATATTGCATTGTGTTTGGATTTAGGGTTAGTCCAAACACTGGAAACGAGGGACATTTCATACTCCGAGTGATGGAACGTGTCTCAATTCTCGGTCGCTGAAGCTCTTGATGATTCATGATAGAGTTCTAGGCTTTACTTGTTGTATTTGTGCATTCATTTTCATATTGATTTGCACAAGTCAGAACTTTGGCCATCATGCATTGGGATGCGTGATTGATGGTCGTGGATCCGACTATACCTCTCCCTTGATGTTTTGAGGTGATTTGGGGTGGCATAGTGCATATACACCCTTAGGAGACCCTCCCATTTCTCTATTTTGTGCTTTGTTGCAGCTTGGTTTCACAGCACACCAGTAGCCGACAGTGCACCACTGATGGCCGGCAGGCTCTCATCCTTGGCCGGCAGTGCCCTTTTGTTGGCCGGCAGTGCCTCTTTCATGGCCGGCATGCCACTGGTGAACCCTCCAGCAGTGTTTTGGTAAGTTTCAGCAACAAACACTGGAAGACACCCTGCAAACAGAGCCTTTAAAGAGCAACTGGAAGGCGTTCCGAGGCGAGGAACCAAAGCAAGCATGCATGCCTTCCTTCCTTCTTCGAACAGAGCTGGAGCATCTTCATTTGTTGCTTTTCATTTGTTGTTTATTAGTTAATTTGTTAATTAATTAAAGTTGTGTAAATAATTAGTTGTAGCTAGTTATTCATTTGGTTTTGTAATTAATTAGCTTGTTAGTTAGTTAATTAGGCGGCCTGTATTACTTATTCGGACCCTCCGAGAGAGGGCCAATCGTAATAAGTGTGCGTGTGTGTGATGTATGTCTTCCAACCCCACGTCTTTCTCCCTTTTATTTACCAGCTTACGATGGTTAGATTAGGGTATGTTTCAATTAGCATCCTTATGCTATGCATGTTTGCATCATTCATATGTCTTGCATGCACCAGGCTCGGCGCATCATACTAACTGCATTGTATTTCAATTTCAAGTTGAATACGTGTTAGTTGTAGCATCTCATATGCCATCTCAGAAAAGCCGAGCCTATTGTAGTTGCATTCCTGTATGTGTTGCATTAGCCATCTTAATATGAACTAGGATCATGCATGTGATTACTAACTAGTTTCTGTTTTGGCTCGGAGTACTCGATAAGTGTTTATGCTTTAGCATCCTTGTATGTGTGTGAATGACTGCCATGATAGCATGCTTACCATGAGGCTAATTGCTTATGTGATATACCTGCCTGAATGCCTGTGGGTGAAGCTTGGATTATCTGAGTTGGAATAATGCATTGACTGTGAGTTTTAAGCCCACTTGAGAGTGGCAAATCATCTTGTTTTCTAAGCCCACCCGAGGGTGGCAAATCCACGTCTTAGCCTACTTGCAGGTAGCACCATCAAACCATTTTCAAATAAACAAACATGAGATGTTTTGTTCCAATTCAGGCGATCCAGTCTATACTTGTATACTGTGCGCATTACATAGTAAATCTAGGCTAATAACTGGAATAAGAACGCATAATGTTTTCAAAACTCGATATCATGATTAGTAGAGGCCGATCTTTGATCGGGCGTGCGGGGATGCTCACGAAGTGACCTTCCCTAATCGTACCCAAGTTCTCGAGCCGAGGCAACTTTGGTAATGACGGACACGTGGCCTTAGGCACGAGTCAGGATTTCCTAAATTTCCTCCAAAATAAAATATTTAGGTGGCAACTCTGTATTTGGAAAAGTAATCCATGTTTGGCACTTCTTTAAAAAAAAATCTGTTTTCAAAAACGATTTGCCGGATTTGGACTCTTTGGCGATTCATCGGTCTTGCATTGTACTCTACGAGATTAGATACAAGACTGTGACTTTGAGTCCTGAACTGTAGTGAGCCTCAAATGAACAAAACGGGATTTCCCTCCCGGGACGTTCGGGGACGTCTACAGTGACAAGCTCTAGAGAGAATTGAAACAGTTTTGTGGCAACAAAATACACGAAATGAGATTAAAGAAAGCCTTCGCCAAGAGTTGTTCATACATCTCAATTCTATTGGTAGAAGTGTTAACATTCCACTTGAAATTCTAGTCTACTTCATAATGGGAATTTTCAATCTGGCACACCAATTTGTGTCATTGCATGACAATACTACAACATCTATGTTGATAGACATCTTGTTAAAACCCACAATTATAGGGCAACTTATTTAAACAAACTTTCCTAGAAAAAAAAAATTTAGTAACATAGGTCAAACCCGAAAGTTAACATATATTTCATTTTCTCAGGTTCAAATTCAAGAACTTGCATCTTAATCAAGGAGATTACATACTTCTATTGCAAAAAAACTTCATAAAATTGTCCAAAAAGAAGTAGTAACAAGAGGTCATCCACATTTCAACAAGGTGAAACCAAGCTTGTCGCCAATGAGGATTTATGAATAAAACTACAACAATCCCCAACAACACAATAATATATGAGACTAGAAAGCTGACATAGAAAACCTCCATATCTATGAAACCACCGTCTTCAATCTCTCTATCCAGGCCTTTTGACATTGTTGATGTTGGTACAGTTTTATTACAGTTGGTTTGCAAGGGAAATCCGCAGAGAAGGGGATTTCCCTCATAGCTACTTTCTTCAAAAGTTGCGAACTGAGCTTTTTGGTCTGGGGTCGCACCTGATAAGTTGTTGTATGCCACACTAAAGACTTCCAACTTGTCCAATTCAATCAATTGAGAAGGGATCTTTCCATTTAATCTATTGTAAGAGAGATCCAAACTTTCTATTTGCTTTAGTTGTGAGAATGTTGATGGGATTGATCCGAATAAATTGTTATGAGACAAGTTTAGACCACGGATGTTGCTCAAGTTTCCCATTTCCAAAGGGATTTCCCCTGTTAAGTGGTTACAAGAGAGATCAACTCCAGACATGTAGTCCAAAATATTGCCTTTATATGCATAGGATCCATGCTTTGTTGTGAACTCCACTTTTTGTTGGACATCCAAAGAGTGGAAGAAAATATTTTCATATGCACTATCCCGCGGATAATGGTCTTCTAGTGACTTTGACCCCTCAACAAAGCTCCACAATGCAAATGGTAAATATAATTCATATATAGTTTCTAGAGAAGATTTTTCATGGGTTGTCTCAAAAGGTATTTCACGAAAACAAAGAGGTATGGGACCAGAAAAGTTATTTTCAGAAAGGTCTAATATGCTCAATTGTTTCAACTGGCATAACTGAACTGGAATTTCACCTTCAAAATTATTAAATTTTAAGAGAAGAATGCTCAACACATGAAGGCTTCCAATCCAATTGGGAACAGTACCATTTAGGTGGTTATCACTAAGATCTAATGTCACCAAAGAAGAACTGCTGCAAAATGCATGCGTCATTGGACCGCTCAACTGGTTTTGGTTCAAGTGGACATGTTTTACTGTCAATTGGTTGAAGCAAGACGGTATAGAACCAGACAGGTTATTATCTGAAACGTCTAAAAATTGAAGATTACTAAGTTTGCAAAACTCTACTGGAATAGGACCTTCAAAATGATTTGAGAACATAGCAATTCCCGTCAGAACGGACATGTTCCCCATCCATCTTGGAAGCTTTCCAGACATGTGGTTGTTGCTAATACCAAGTGCTTCCAAAAAAAGGGGAATAGATACACTATCTGGAAGTTTGCCTGTGAAATGATTATTGTCCAAATACAAGTATCTCAATCTGGTTAAATTTACAAACGAAAGAGATATTTGGCCAGACAAATTATTGTTAGATAAGTCCAAAATCTCCAAGGAGTGAATATCACCTAAAGAAGTAGGAATGTGACCTTGAATAAGGTTTCTAGATGTTTTTAAATTCAACAAATTTGGAAAGATCGAACCTATATTTGTTGGAATTGGGCCCTCAAGATGATTGTCAGAAATATCAATTGAAATGACATGGGGATTACGATATGATGGCAGTAGGAAAGGCCCAATGAGAGAGCAATTTATTAGATGAAAAACTTTCAATTGAGTATTATTTTCTAACAACCAAACTGGGAATGTTTCGACCGAGTTGTGTGATAGATGAACTATTCTGAGGTCATATTGGTAAAAGAGAAAATGTGGAAATTTCATACCAAGATTGTTTGATCCACAGTTTGATAAACTGAGAACCTTCAGTTGGAACTTAGGAATCCATGTTTGAAGCTCAATTTGATCACTCAATCTGTTGTTGTCACCTAAAAATACCTTAAGCTTTGAATGGTTACAAAATGAAATAAATGAGACTGGGATTTCGAAATGGTTATATGCAAGGCTAAGAAATTCCAGTGTTGGGAGATTACTAAGGGGAGATGAAGTAAGATTTCCAGTGAACTGATTGAAAGAGAGGTCCAATATTCGAATTGATGTTAAGTCTTCCAAACATGAGGGAAGCATTCCATTAAAACCATTCTCACTGAGATCCAACTCTTGGAGGTTAGAAAGTTCACACCAACCTATGAAATAAAAGAAGTGATGCTTAGCTTAGACGTTTTATCTGCATGGAGGCACATTCAAATCATAACACAATTTATCCAAGGAATATAATCAAATTGTGAATACCTTGGTTAGGTAGGCTTCCGTTAAGGCTAATATTCCGCAATGTCAGCACCCTTAGGGAGGACATTACTCCAACATTATGAAGAAAGATCTTGTCAATGGATGAATAATCCAAATACAACTCCTGTAAGTGTTTTAATCCATCCAACCCTGAAAGATGTAGCTAAAGAATTATTCATTAAAAATTATGTGCCACAAAAATATGATGATACCTTACATGAAAGTCGCAAAGAATCTTCAAATATCAGATCGTTGTGATAAGATGATGCATCATGTCCCAATACGTCAAATTTGAAATTTTGCGGTATTAGTTACAAGGGGAAATTACACCAATGGTTTGTGCATTTGCCTCTTGTGTCATTTTGGTCCCTACACTCTTAATTGGCTCAAATTTGACTCCCAAATTTGACAAAAAATTATCACTGAATTAGTTGAGATTAACTCACTGACTTAAGTAAGTTTATATGTTTTCTCTTAAAACTATGACACATGTCACTTATATACGTATTTTTCATAAAAAAATGTTAAGAGTTGGACCAAATTGATGTAAAGTTATAAATTCAGTGTCAAAATCGAGCCAATTAAAATTATAGGGACCAAAATGATAAAAGAATCAAAATACATTGACTACTGTTGTAATTTACCCTACTTACAAACTATTGTGGTTATGTTAGGAAGGGGTGCACTGTAATAAAAGTCTTAGTTATGGATTATTTTGGTTACATTATGACCTAATGTGGTTATGTTATATACATTAAGAAATTATGAGTTATTGTAGCTATGTAATATACATTAAGAAATTATGAACTATATGGTGAGAAAATTTATGAATCATTGTGGTTTTGTTACAAAACATTTGTATTATAGCCTTTCCCTAACATAACAGATCTAATAGAGCCTACTGTTATTATATAATGAAAATGCTACACGTACTGACGTGGCATGTAGCATAAAACTTGAGAATTTAAAATGGGATCCAATAAATAAATTAACATGATAGGAGCCGCGTCAATTTGAATAAAATGTTTATAATTTTTCTTTTTCTTTTTTTTTTTTTGTATAATACTACTCTGTACAAAATCTTGAAAAAATGTTGGAGCTCATTTTGTAAAGCACTGTGGACTTAAGTGAATTAATGTCAATTCCAAGTAAGCTTAAGTTCTCACCATTATTAGTAACTAGTCCTTTCAATTCATTCCATCGAAGGTTCAACATCTTTAGCTTGCTTAAACTCTTTAAACCTGTTGTGTGAAAAAAACAATATCGTAAATATATGATCTTGCTTGTAAATTTTTGGGCAAAATTCATTTTATTCCTATGTGGTTTGAATTTGGAGCACTTTACCCTCTAAACTGCAATAGTTACACTTTACCCTCTTTTGAATTTTGGACTAAATTGCAATAGTTACTTTTTCTGTTAAAATTGACAGAAGATGTAATGCACTTGCCAAATTTGAGAGTGGGCATATTTTTTTGTTGAAACTAAAGTAAAATCAAAATGCAAAAAGTCATTTTTACCCAACTTCTCCATTCATCCTTTCATCTTCATCGTCTACCTTCAAACCTAAAAAAACTCTCTTGTTGGGGTTAGTTATATGTAGAGTTTCAATTAGTGGATATATATTATCGTTGGTGTATATATGTATAGTTTTTATAATATACTTTTAGTTTTTTTTTTTTTTCTTAAATGAGATTACTCTGTGTATATTTTTTAAGAAAAATTATAATTCAGTGATAGTTTTACAAAATTATTATAAATTCATAAAAAAAATTTAAGACTTTAATTATTGATGTACATAAATTTTACCATTAATTTAAAATTATTTATAAAACTTTACATTGAATAGTAATTATCCTTATTTTTTATTCATTAAAATTAATGATGGTGGTTGGGTTGAATGCAACTGTGATAGTGATTTACGTCCATTAACAAAGAAAGATGAGGAAGATAAGGAAGTGAGTATTGTGGTCTTTTTCTATTTTTTTTTGTTAATAGAGTTAATAGTGTGGTTTACTCTAAAATCACAAAGGAATTATTTGTCTATATTTAAATTATAAGGGGGTAAAATGTTCCGAGCTCAAACTACAATGAGGTAAAGTGAATTTTTCCCTAAATTTTTTTCTACTTGGAAAAAGAGAATACAACCACTGAAACCTTCACCATTACCTTTTATGCTGTCTATGTGATTTGCACTCAAGTCCAGCTCCTCTAAGTTGCTCTTATTATGGAATTCTAAAATGAAAAGAAAAATATTAAAAAAGAAACGAAAATTGAGTAAATCTAAAGCCCTATTGGTTTATAAATTCAGCAAGACATACCTTTATGTAATAAATTCAATCTCAATCAAGACTTACTCTGTTGGTCCTATTATGGTTTTTTGTTGAGTTTGACTATTAAGAAATTGGGTAATTATTCAATATTTTAGGAATATCACGTGATCTTTGTGCATGTGGTGTTCCTAACTAATGATATAACTAAAAATTTTACAAATGAGACAATGTTGACCTATATTTGTTAAATAATTGGAAGATAAGGAATGACTCACCTAGTGTATTTTGGGATTTCACATTGTCAGGAGGACCACATAGAAAATGTCACATGGTACTCCGACACTACCTAATAATTTTTTTTTTCCCCACAATTTTGTCTAAGACATGTAGCATTGCTTATATGGAGTTTCAAACCAATCATATAGTAAAAAATTTTACAAGTGGAATATGTTGACTAATCTTTGTTAGGCAGTTAAAGATAAAAAAATTACTCATTTAGTGTGTATTGTGATTGTTTATTTGCCAAAAATACCACGTAAACAATATCTCCGAAAATATTTAATAATTTTTCCTAACATTGGTCATAACAAACAACGATGAAGAACATATATAAACAACCTAGGGAATCTTCAAAGGGATTGTCTACCAATCCTAGTAGGTGGTGGAACACATGGATATTGTGCACTTGTTCATGTGGTTACCGACTCATTTTGATGCTAGAAAGATTGTCTCGTTGTGAACATGTGAAGTGTTTTATTATTAGAATTACCTCCTATATCAATTGATCCATTCAAATTGATGCCCCGTAAGTTTAAAGTCTTGAGTGATGAGAGAACACAAAGAAATGGTACGATTCCACTATTGAATGAATTGTAGCTCAAATCAAGTAGCTCCAGCTTGCCTAACACATATGGTCTTTCAAAACCTGCAAAAATCAATTTCCATTTCAAGTCACCACCATCCTCACAAACTAAAAGGAAACGCAAAATTGTTATGAAGTCCATCTTGTTTATTAAAAAATAAAAGATCAAAAAATAAAATAGTTAGTTTATTTTCTAAGAAACTTGGAGAGCTTCATTTGGGATAATGATATACAAACATTATTTTTGTACAAAACATGTTCTGTGAAATAATATTATAAGTATATTGCCTTTAAATCTTTTTTAGCTTGGCAAATGAGAGTACAACCTCTAAAAACTTTTGCGAAATCACTATTGTATACCTTTTATATCTTCTATTGAATTGTAACTCAAATCCAGCTTCTCTAAGTTGTTCATATTGCAGAATTCTACAATGAAAAAGAAAAAAAGAAAAAGAGTTGAGTGTAAATCTGATCATATTTGTTGTATGAGTCATATTAAACTTCATTTGGGGGCAAAATGAAGTTTACGTCAGCAACTTCCATTTGATTATAGACTACAACTGACGGCGGGGTGAAATTGATTCAAAATCAAATAGATTAAGTATAAAATTGATATTTTAAAAGAACATGAGTTCAATTAATTTTTGAATGATAATTTAGAGGGCACAATGAAGTTTTCTCCTTGAAATATGGTTAAATTACATTTTACCATCCTTACATTTTCATCAAAATCTCACTTTAATTCATTTACTTTCAATTGTAATAGTAAGTGGCGTCTCCAAAAATTTGTAGAGATAAGGTCACCTTGCATGTTCAAGATCCACAAATTCTAAAAACTAGAAAAAAAACTTTTACACTAACCAACATTTAAGCCTTGTTTGAAAATTGACTTTTAGATTAAAAAAATCTAAAAGTTTTTTTTTTTATTATTTAAAAAAAGTACAAAAACAAAAAAGTTAAAAAACTGCTACAAAAGCAAGTCATAAGTACCAGTCAACACGTTTTTTCATTCAACTAAAAAAAAGGCATTACCAAATTCATTTGACTCATTTCATCTTATAAAACAATCAAAAAATTAAAAAATTATTAAAAAAACCAAACCCCAAACGATGCCCTAAACTTTTCAAACTTTTATTACTAAATTTCTCAAATTTAAGTAGAATAAACTGCAAAAATATTATACTATTTGTCTGAACAACAAATAATATAAACTTTTACACTTACATTTGATGAGGTTTTATTTTTTAGAACTATTGCATAATAACTTCATTGTTAATAATGTCAAACACATTTTCTTGTATATACGTAATTAAAAATTATCTATTCATTGATGTCAAACTATACAATGTGGTCCCTTAATTTTAATAAGATTAAATCATATTAAATAAAATATTAATAATTTAAATAGTTATTCTATTAAGAGTTTTTGATAGGTTGGCGGGTGATGGAACCCCATCAACCCTAAGCTAGTGTCGCCCCCGGTAATAATCAAACCCTACATTTTTTTATCAAGTTACAATATCACCTTTCTATCTATTTGTCATTAACGAAGTTTATAGAACTTGTCATTTGAAACCCACGTGACATTTTTTTTTTTTTTCTCGTTAACACTCTTACACTTTTACTAAAATCTCACTTTAGTCTTTACTTTTACCAAAATCTCACTTTAATCCTTCAACTTTTAATTTATGCTAGCTTATTAACGATAAATGGATAAAGCGGGTGAGATTTTTTTTTTTTCTTTTCTTGAGTAGCTAAAAAGAACTTTATTGATAAAATTTAGAGTACACTATACAAAGATCAAAAGGAGAAGAGAGCACTAAGCATCAAAGCTAGCAATTCCATTCCAACTAGGTTGGCACTGAAAAACGAGCCCTATCACTTGCTAAGGCACAACCCCACTAGTTGGAGAGAAACCAACCAACAAAGACAAGAACAAAACCAGAAAAAGAAAACATAGAAGAGCAAAAGAAACCAAAAACCAGGGCATGGTATGAGGCTCCAATTTCTGGTCGCTCATTCACCCAACACCATTTCTACACGAAGTTAATTGTTGCAGGTTGTATATAATATCATTGATAGAGTAAGCTAGCCCTTTTGAATTGCAGGTTGTAAATAAAAGGGTAAGATTGCAATTTAATCGAAAGTATAGGGGGTTGATTGTTACAATTAAAACTGAAGGTACCAAATTGAAATTTTGGTGAAAGTGCAAGGGCACTAAATATAATTTACCCTTACAATATTGAAAAGTGTTTTGAATTGATTTCCCAACTTAATTTTGTCTATATTTCTGTCTCAACTAAGGGTAAAGCTTGAAAACCATAAACACACATCATTAAAAAATTAAATAAAAAAATGAAAAAGCCAACATCCCTGGGAAAGAATATTTACATTATTATGATAAAATGTAATTTTCGTAATGACGAAAAAATAATTTGTCAACAAAAGCTTATTTTCAATGATAAATGAGATCTTCGTCAATAATTTTTTCATTAATAATTTTCTTGGCGATAATTTTTCATTGTAACATATATCTATCTATTTTAATATATAAAGTGAAGGTTGTTGGTGGTATTGACAATTTTTGTCTCACAATTTTCTTTCTCAAAATACCCCTATATTTGGAGTTTTTGTAAAAAGTATGCAAAGAGAAGGACGGGCCTCACCCCATGACCTTCGGTTTGATAATGAAAGCTCGTACAATTAGTATCTTGTACGATTATTTCATCAATAAAGGTTTCTTTTGTTGATATAAAAAAAAGAAGAAAAGAATAATGTTATTTTTTTTCAAGTTACACACATTGTGTGCCGACCAAATATTATGTTTGTTTAAGTTAATGGTGGAATAATGTACATGTTATGTTTTGAAAGTTTATGTTTCGAAAAATAACGACAGATTAATGTTGAACAATGTTTACTTAATGTTTAGTTTTTGTTTATTAGTGAATTTTATGAGAGTAGTTTGTTTGATAGGTTCGTTATTATTATTTTTAAAATTTATGAAAGGTTGAATTTTTTTGAAAATGTTATATGATTTTTCTTGTAAACAGATTATGTGAAACCATGGTTCCAAATCGAACCAAAACATGTTTAAATAGTTTGGTTCGGATTGGTTCTATGATTTTAATGGTTTGGTTTGATTCCAATTTTTATGGAACTATAGACAATAGATTGGTCCTGGTTTCATCCCAAACTGATCTAAATTGGACCATACTCACCCCTACTTGATTGGCCAAACTATAACATAAGATTGAGATTATTAGTCCGTCCAACTCACATTCCGTTATTTGGATTATATTTCAATGGTCATCATATGTAACAAAATTGATGAATTTTTTTACGCCTACAACTAATAATGCAAAACATACACATAATTGAGATTATATATAGTTCCATATTAATTACAAAATAAACGTAGATAAGAAAGAATTATGTATCTCACTAACTCAACTAGATAACTAATAATAATTTCATAAATTATTAATTCTCTCACTATTAATCCTATTAATCAAACACGCCCTTAGAGACTAAAAAGTAACTAACCATTATTAATAAATTTGGCAAACTATATTATGTAATAGTAACCATCTTAAACTGGTTGTTGTCGAGTCCGATTATTATAAAACTGGATAATTAATAATTAATTAACAGTTTCAAAATATTATTGTGACATTGTTTATGTGATAATTTATGGGATTATCTACCACTCCTAACACGTAGAACATACCGGCTTTGTTTGATTTGAAGAATTAATAGTGAAGAGATCAACAATTTATTGGATTAAAAAGCATCAAAGCAAACTAATCAATCCCCTTTATTGATGTAAGTCACTTGCCTTGTAATCTGATTATCATTAACAAAGTTTTCTTTTGCTGATAAAAAAAAGAAAAAAATCATGGTATCAATGAATGATTGGTTATCCAACTAGATTACTGAATTGTATGTGGTGTTACTAACTAATAATGTGATAAAAAATTTCACAGATGAGACAATGCTTTTTTTATTATTTATTTCTTTGATCAACAAAGAAACTTTATTGATGATTAAAATGTTGTACAAAATGATGGCTTGGTGAATTGCATCATAGCCAGCAAAGTACTCCCAACTATGCTGGTATCTCCAATTAAACCCAATCATGTGTAGACCCAAACCAAAGAACAGAGTTGGAGAGGACCCAACCAAGGGGGGATACAATCAAGATGAAATAAAGGAAAATAAAAACCGTCTGACAAGTCATCTAGCACAGGGCCTGATCTTAGTGGCTTTAATTCCTTCCAAAGAAAAGACGAAATCATTGATTAAGTAGTCAGAAATGTTAGTTGAAATCTTCACCCAAGAAGCAGTTCGAACTTTTACAAGCTCAGATGAGACAATGTTGACTTATATTTGTTAAGTAATTGGGAGATAAGGGTCTTAGAGCATCTCCAACCTAATCCTCTCACCTAGAGGATGAAAATAAATTTTTTTTATTCAAAAAGTAAATATAGAGTATATCACTATTCATTCAAACTCCAACCACAAACCTTCATTTTCTTCTACAGATGAATATATACGAATTGGTGAGTCTACTGTACCATTTCTTCATGAATATACTTAGCATCCATTTTTGTTCTAGAAAGCTCTACAGTCATTTTCTTTGATGTATGAGGGTTTGGTTTTTCTATAAAATAATAGATGGTAAGGAAAATAGATGGAGGGAAAATTGATGGTTAATTTTGGAGGGAAATATTCAAAGAAGAAAATGAAGATTTGTGGTTAGAGTTTGAATGAATAGTGATATACTCTATATTTACTTTTTGAATAAAAAAATTTATTTTCATCCTCTTGGTGAGAGAATTAGGTTGGAGATGTTCTTAGGGCCAAGTAGGTTTAGATTTGTTCAAAAGCCTCAGATCGAAAAATAGAGGTAATTTCGCATGGCTTCCTCGTCTCGCACTCTCACGTTTAACGCCACATCCAGCATAATCTCGCCAGTGTTCCCTTCGGATCTCACCTTGCCTCACTCAACCACTACGCCGGATCTTCGATCCTTACTCCCGAGGCCGATCCCTCCCGTACTGTTATCGTGATTCCTATTTGTGAAGTGAACATCAATCTCATTCGAGGTACATATACTTTTCTCTCTTCAATTTGAAGATTTATGCGTTAAAGGTTGGGAATTGTGTTTGATACGTATTTTAAGTACTCATTCAATTGCCAATTGATAGCTAATGAAATCGTTTTTTAAGTTTAAAGTTTGAATAAGCTTTTGATTACACTTAATATTAGATGAAAATATGATTACAAGCTGAATGGAATAAAAATTTGGAAGCTTGGTGTGGTATAAAGGTTTTTGTTAATGAAAATTGTTGGAATTTGTCTGTCAGTGGATTTTTTTTGCATGATTACAACTAGAAGCGTAAGTCAGTTGAATTATTGGAATTTTTGCTTGAAATGGAATGAAGTAAAAAATACTATAGTAGTACTTTTCAGAAGAAGTTAGGGAAATTTTTAGATTTTTTGCCATCTATGTATCTCTCTCTCTCTCTCTCTCTCTCTCTCCTTTGGTGTTTACAAATTATGTTTGTTTCGAAAAAGTTATGGCTGGAGGAGGGACAGTGGCTGTGAAGAGGCATCACAGACAAATTTGTTCATCTCTTGCTCATCCTCCTCTTCCATGGGTCTCTGATCCAGATCTGTTAAATTCAAGAGAACTTTTTTTTCCGGGGGGGGTTAAACAGATTGAATTTTTTTTGGATGATTGCTATTGTTGATGTTGATGTTGATGATTGTTGTTGTTGATGAACAAATAAAGATAAAAAAATTAAACAGATAGAATTTGAACATATAATAAATTTGGACAGATATAATTTTATTTGGACAAATATTTAAACAGATAAGGAAAATTTGAATTGAAAAGATTAACAAATTAAACAGATAGGGTAAAAAATTGAATAGATCGAAATTTTTTTGAACAGATAAGAAAAAAATTGAATAGATTGGAAAAAAATTTGATCAAATGAGAAAAAAATTTGAACAGATAATCAACGAAAGTCAATCGATAAAAAAAGTCAACAAATAAATTAAAGGGTAAAATTAAAAACAAAATGTCATTTAAAACAAACGAAATGACTTTTCACCAAACTATTTAACAAAAGGTGGATCTCTCTCTAACGAAAAAAAATATCTACTAGATCTAATGCCTTATATATTTCTTAACTTAAATTTATCACTAATGTATTCTTTAATTGCCCCACAAATTTCTGTAAGGCATGTAGCATTGCTTAAAACCAATTACGTTGCAAAAAATTTTACAAGTTGAACATGTTGACTAACTTTTTTTTAGGTAATTGAAAGATAAAGAATGATTTGTTTTGCATGTACTGTGAGTTTTTATTTGTTGAAAATACCACAAACAATATATTTAAGAAATTTTCCTAACATTGATCCTAACAAACAACAATAAAGAACATATATAAACAACATAGGGAATCTTCTAAGGAATTGTCTACCAGTCCCAGTAGATGTAGAACATATGGATATTGTGCACTTGTTTGTGTGGTTACCGATTCAATTTTGAAGCTTGAAAAATTGCCTTTGGTTGTGAATATGTGAAGAGTTCTATATTGGACTTACCTCCTATATCAATTGATCCATTCAAAAGGTTTCCCTGTAGGGATAAAGTTTTGAGTGATGAGAGCACACCAAGAGATGGTAGGATGCTATTATTGAATGAATTCCAATCCAATCTAAGTAGCTCCAACTTGCCTAACACAGATAGTCGTTCAAAACCTGCAAAAATCAATTTCCTTTTCAAGTCACCACCATCTGTACAAACTAAAAGGAAACGCAAAATTGTTATGAAATTCTTCACATATATATATATATATAATAGGTAGTTTGTTTACTAAGAAACTTGGAGAGCTTCATTTGGGTTTGGGATAATAATGATATACAAACATTATTTTTGTACATAACCTGTTGTGTAAATAATATTATAAGTGAACAATATTGCCTGTAAATCTTTTTCAGCTAGGAAAATGAGAGTACAACCTCTAAATACTTTTTTTTTTTTAAATCACGATTGTATACCTTTTATATCTGCTATAACATTGTTACTCAAATCCAGCTCCTTTAAGTTCATATTGCAGAATTCTACAATGAAGAAGGAAAAAGAAAAAGAATTGAGTGTAAATCTGATCATATTTTATTTATGAGTCATATGAATAACAGTCCATTGCATTGTCAGTAAAAGAAAGTGCCAAAATAATTATCACTGTAATGGCCAATGGGTTTCATTTATTAGGAAAAAATTTCATAAAACTAGGCTTCGTTTGGGATGTGTGTTGGTTTTTTAATTTTTTGATTTTTTAACTATTTTAGCCTGGGGTTAAAAAGTCTCGTTTGGGATGTTTTTTTTTTTTATTTTTTTATTTTTTGACTTTTGTGTGAGAAAAAATAAAATGATTGTGATTTAGAGGTGACATTTTATCTTATTGATTTTTTAACCTATTTTGTCTTTTTCTGACTAAAATAGCAAAACAAACTCTCAAACCCACATACCAAAGGATTGCTGAAGCTTTTAAATACACATTTATTTCTTTTTATAACCACCACATTAATGTAGGAAAATATTTTGCGTTATTACAAAAAATATATATAATTTTCGCAATGTGGAAAAAATAAATTGTTTCCCAAAGTCTATTTTCTGCAATGAATGAAATCCCATCGCCAATATTTTTTGTCAACAGTTGTTTTGTCACAGTTTTTTCATTGCAAAAATGTTTTTTCGTGTAGTACATCAACTAATATTTATACAATAAAAGTAACATGTATATACATTTTGGGTGACCAGGAATAGGTCACGAAACATGATCATATTTTTTTTTAATATTTTTTTTTGTGGCTTTTTGTGGTTTTTATTTTATTTTATTTATTTATTTTCATGTTTACTTTGATTCAGATGAAGAGAGACACATAGGCTCAAAGACCAAATTTTAACACTTTTTATACTTTGAGAACTAAATTGATATAATCTAAATATTAAAAATTGAAATGATACAAATCTCAAAAACCGATCTACATAAGTGTTTTTCTTCATATTGTTTTTGCATTTGAGTCATATTGTAATTTTCACTTTCAATCACAGTCTTTACAGAAGCCAAGTGGGTAAATTTTAGAAAAACAAAATTGAAAATGTAGGATTCAAATTATTCAAATTAAAATTATGAGAATTAAAGCAATACTTCACTCAAACTAAAAGACCAGTGGTATAATTTATCCAAAAATATTTTACCCAATTATATGTAACTGAACACCAAAAATTTAGGAAAAAAATATTTTCCATGTAAACAAACAAAACCTTAGAAAATAAAAAGGTAACTAACGCTTGTTTATAAATTTGGCAGACTATCTTATGTATTAGATTCCATTTCAATCCGAGGGTCTTACTCTTTTCGTGCTATGGTTTTTGTCAAGTCCAACTGTCATGAAATTGGATAATTGATAATTATTTAATAATTTTATAATATTATATGACATTATTCATGTGATGTTTAGAGATCTTATCCACTACTCCGAACAGCTTGCAGAACACATGGAACTCACATTGGTGATAGAAAGATTGTCTAGTTGTAAACATATGAAATGTTTTATTATTGGACTTACCTCTTATATCAGTATCAATTGATCCATTCAAATTGTTTTCCCAAAGGCATAAAGTCTTGAGTAATGAGAAAACACCAAGAGATGGTAGGATGTAATTATTGAATGAATTGTCTCTCAAATCAAGTACCTCTAGCTTGTAATCCGTTCAAAACTTAATATTCACATGTGATTTATTCTATTTATTAAAAAAAAAAATCAAAAAATAGTTTATCTGTTTACTAAGAAACTTAGAAATCTTCATTTGGGATAATGATTACAAACATTATTTTTGTACAAACTTCTTGTGTGAAACAATATTGTAAATGAAAAATCTTACCGACAAATCCTTTTTAACTTCCAAAATGAGAGTACAACCTCTAAAAAAAACTTCCATTATGCACCTTTTTGTATTTTCTATTGAATTGCCACCAAAATTCAGCTCTTCTAAGTTGCTCATAAAAAAATAAAAATAAGAAAAATAAGAAGAAGAAGAAGAATTGAGTGTACATCGGGTCCTAATTATTTTATGAGTTGTATAGGATTCTGTCAATTTAGCTTGCAACATATAAAAAAAAAAAAGTGTTTTGATTTGGTCTCCCAACTTAATTTTGTCTACCTTTCTGGCTAAACTAAGGATAAAGTTTGAAAACTATATATAGACATCATCAAAAATTGAAGAAAATAAAAAAAAGAAAAGCCAATATCTCTGGAGAGGAATATTCAAATTATTATAATAAAATGTAAATTTTGTGACGCGGGAAAAAAAAATTGTCTCCCAAAGCTTATATTCTACAATAAATGAGATCCTCGCCAAATTTTCTGTTGATACTTATTTTGGCAAATTTTTTATTTTTTTTTTCTTGTAATACATCATCCAATATATTTTCATATATAAGCATTCGCTTTTCGTTGACGTGTGTTTATGATTTTTATGTTTTGCCCTTAGTTCAAATAAAGAAAGACAAAATAGGTTAGAGGAACAAATTTTTTAATCAGTGTGGGAGCCAAATATAAAAAATCAACTTCAAACTGATCCTTTCAATTGGGTCGTGTAAGTTCAAAGCCCAGTGAGCTAGGGATCGTTGCCGAGTAGGCATTGAGGCCCACATGGGAAGCCGAGTTAAATATTCAGGCCATGTGCCGAAACCAACTAATCCGGAGTAATCGGAAGGGTCTTATTGGACCAAACTGTGGCTCATCCCATAAAAGCATGATGAGATGGTGGGATTATAAAAGAGAAAGGCCGACTCTAAGAACTATAAAATACCAATTATCCACACGTAAAAATTGACTAAATTGGTGTTAATTCCGACAACATTGATCGAAATTGTTTATCTGTTTTAGGTAACATTGTGAGGATCTTTTAGGTTCCTCAGAATTCGAAAAGTATTTCTTGTTAGGCAATCTTCACTGTATTTAAATTAATTAAATTCTGTTGTGTACTAAACAACAACCAGAATATAAAGAAATAAAGAAAAGGAGAGAATATGTTTGATTACAAAAATCAAACTTGAAAATAAAAATATATAAATAAAAAACAGATTTTATTTTGTTACAAAAACAAAATTAAAATCTGAATAAATAAACAAATAAAAACAACACTGAAAGTAATTAAATAACTTACTTGATTTAATTTCTTCGAATTATTTACTGATCAAGTCCAGTGTTTGACACTGTGTCCTTAAGACAGATTCGTCCTCTCCACGGTGCTTTCAGAATTCGGACGTCTTTTGGTTTTGAATTGAACAGGTATGTGGCTTTTGGTTTTGAATTGAACAGGTATGTGGCTTTTGGTTTTGAATTGAACAGGTATGTGGCTTTTGGTTTTGAATTGAACAGGTATGTGGCTTTTGGTTTTGAATTGAACAGGTATGTGGCTTTTGGTTTTGAATTGAACAGGTATGTGGCTTTTGGTTTTGAATTGAACAGGTATGTGGCTTTTGGTTTTGAATTGAACAGGTATGTGGCTTTTGGTTTTGAATTGAACAGGTATGTGGCTTTTGTTTTTGAATTGAACAGGTATGATACCTGTTGGGTTTTGAATTTAATTCAAACAGATAGCAATTACGGGAAGGGCCGTGTTTGGGTGTGCATTAATTCCAAAACAGTTTATTTCTGTTTGAAAACGGGAAGGGCCCTGTTTGGGTGTGCACTAATTCCAAAAAATTCAAATCAGTTTAATTTGAATTCTGGATTTTATTTTACCAAAAAATAAAATTAAATTCAAATGTTTTTGGCCCAAAAAGATTAGAAGCACAACCGGACGGACGGACGACGGCGGCGGCGGGCGTGGTGATTTTTGGGTCCAATGGGTCTAGCCCATTTTGCCCATAACCTCTCCCTCTAAAACACTTGGGTACCCCTTGGGGCACACCCCAAGTATCTCACCCTAAGCCTTATAAACCCTTTCAAAACTTCCCACCAAATCAATGTGGGACAAGCCAATTTACAACCTTAAGGAATTTCCACCAAAACTCCATTTCCATGGAGCACACTTTGGCTTCAATTTCCCATTCACTCGGTAATGGTTTTGAGCAACCAAATATACCACGTGAATCACAACGCGACATAGAACGCGCTACCACCTTGACCCGAGTAAATCGACACTCGGGGCCCACCTAAAAAATAGACCGAACTTAGAAAAAAATTCTGATTTTATCCAAAATTTTATAACCATTTCCAACATTTCTAAACTCATATCTCCACAACCAGCAAAATAAATATTTCGTTAAAAAATATGAAATTAAAGATATAGAAAGACGCAATGCATCGGAAGATGCAATGTATCCAACGAAAGAGATTAGAAATTATAAATTACCGCCCCTCGCATCTATATAATCAATCTCTTGGCCGAGAACCACCCACCTTCCATGGCCGAAAAACCCAAGGCCGAAAAACTCCCTAGGCTGAAAACCGTGGCCGAAACCTTCCTAGGCTGAAAACCATGGCCGAAAGCACACCTATGGCCGAAAACCACACCTCTCCCACATGTTAAACAACCAAGAGGCACCACTGATAGCCAAAAAACCACCTCTCCCACCTGTCAAACACCTCTCTGAACCGAACCAGCCGGCACCGAAACACCACTTCCATGGCCTAAAACCTCCCAAGATTTAACACCTCCCACGACCAACGCCAAAGACCCATGCCTCATACATCCTCCTAATCTTCAACCACCCATAGCCGAGAGCCCCCATAGAACTGAGACCACTAACTCCTCTTTGTCGAACAACACCCGATCTGAGACCACTGACCTCTTTGCCGAACAAACTCCTACATTCGAACACACCCATGGCCAAAAAACTTCCAATACCGAACAACCCAGCACACATCGCAGAGAAGCGCCCAAAACTAGATCACCATACACCCGCCGATAGAAGACCCGAAAGAAGATCCATGGCCAAACACCATAGATCAAAACACACCTAGGCATAATCTATAGATGTCGGAAAAACTAATATCGTGGGAAAACTTTGGGGATTCAAGTTAAAAATGAGAGAAAACAACAATCACACACGAAGGAAGCGAGGCCAGCCGACCGCCATGGCCATAGGCAGCAGCCAGCCGGCCAACGGTGAGACCCGGGATGGAGGTTTTTAGAGAGAGAAAGATAGAGGAAGCATGGATAGTTTTGTAATCTTGGTTAGAGAATGAAATTGAAACACTCTGTACCCTTTAAATACTAAATTGAAACACTCTTTACACTTTAAATCCGGGTGATTTGGAACGATCTAAATAAGTATATTTTTTGATTTTTTATGAAAAAATATGTAAAAAAAATAAAGAAGTGATATGATGAAAAAAAATAAAAAGATAAAAAGTGAAATTTTAAGAAATATAATAACACAAATATCTTATTTTAGGAATTAAAATAGTGAAATTTTAATTGAATTCTTATATTTACCCTTAAATTTAATGGTATCTATAAATTGAATTTGGTTAGAAGACGAAATCAAAATAATTTTAATACATTAAAAACTAAACAGATACAATTTTAACAGGGAACCAAAATCACACAAACTCCCTACATTAGAAACTAAAATAGTAACCAACTCAACCTTGGGCACAACCTTGGGCACTTACTCTTTTGGTGCTATGATTTTTCGACTATCATAAAATTGAATAATTAACAACTATTTAATAATTTAAAAATATTATATGACATTGAATCACATGGTGTTTTAAGGCAACACATATGCTTTGTTTGATTAGAATAAATAATAGTAAGAAGATTAACAATTCATGGAATCAGTGAAAGATTAGTTATCCAATTAGATTAGTTGGATAAATAATCCCCTCTTTTCACGTTTGTTTTGCAATAAATATTGAAATATATAATACCAATTATATGTTTATTTTGTATTGTTAGTTATAAAATTAAAAAATTCACCAATTTTGTTGAATAAAATGTCCATTGAAATCTAATTTGAATAATATTAGAATAATCCTAATCCTATGTTATAATTTGTCCAATAAAAATAGCCCATAAAACTTACATTGATGCTGCCAAGATTGTCCATATTGACGCTGGAAAGGTTGTTTTAGTTGTGAATAGGTAAAACATTTTATACTGGACTTACCTCCTACATCAATTGATTCATTCAATCTGTTTCCAGATAAGGATAAAGTCTTGAGTGATGAGAGCACACCTAGAGATGGTAGGATACTATTATTGAATGAATTCCAATCCAATCTAAGTAGCTCCAACTTGCTTAACACAAATAGTCTTTCAAAACCCGCAAAAAATCAATTTTCATTTCAAGTCACCACCATCCTCACAACTAAAACAACACGTAAAATTGACATGTATTCCATTTTATTAAAAAATATAAAAACAAAAATAGGTAGTTTGTTTAAAACTCAATTTTAAAGCATAATGATCTACAAATTTTCTATCGAAATTTCATATAAAACCGTGTGGTTTGTTGTGATCTTTTTATTACAAGCCAAAACATCTATCATTGCGGCTCATAATTGCGAAAATAGTATGTAAAATTTTTAGTAAATTTTTTGGGACCCTAACATTTTTGCGCAAAAGAGTCCATTTCAACTATTCAACAAATGTTGCATAGTATGACAAGTGGCAGATGGGATAAATCAGGTGACGGACACATAAATCATAAATCATGTACAAAGAAAGATCGAGTGTTTAAAAAACAAATTTAACCATCATAAAATAAATAAATAAATAAATAAAAACTTTAGTTTCCCAAAAAAAAAAACAAAAAACTAATTCACTAGAATCATTAATTTGGCTGCCATTCAAGGAGGTTGTTTTTAATTTTGGGTTGGGCACATAAGGGTGTTGTCCGGATCCATCACAAGTCATATTTCGATTATTCAAAGTGTTTATTTTGCATGTCACTTCATGTATATAATCATAATTTATTTAATTTATCGCATTTGTCCTAAAAAATTGAGTTAAAAAAATGTATTTTTGAAACTAGAGCATCTATATTTTTTTTGGTTCATTATTTTCTTCATATTGAAGTGGTATTGTTATCATACCTGAATGAGTAATGAAACCATCAAACTGATTATCGCTAATATCAAGCTGCTCCAAGTTATTCAAACCTTTAAGATCTGGTCTCGAGTCAAGAAAATAAAAGTATTAATTAGTTGGAAACCAAGGAAACATGCTTATTTTTGAATTCTTACACTAGTCTCAAACTCTCAGCTAAGAATGAAAAGAAATAGACTTTAATTTAAACTCACCATTAATATGAATAGTTCCCTCCAAACGATTAGAAGTTAGATTTAGAGACTTTAGAGATGTTAATTCACCCAACTTCTCAAAACCTGTAAAACAGTCAATAATGTATATCATAGCATAGGCCACAACGTGATTTTTGGAAATATTGTCAAAAAGAAAACAATAGAGTAGACTTGTTTGGTTGCTATTCTAGTAATAAATAAAAAAAACCTTCATTCTCAAGCCAACCCGCTAATCCATTGTATGATAAGTCGAGACTTTCAAGTTCTTCAAATGGAAGAAACATGGAGGCATTCAGATACCAATCTCCTGAGTACCAATAATAATAATTCTCTGCAGAATTGAGTGAGAGTTGGATCACTCGCCTTGTTGTAGCATTGCACTTGACTCTTTGCCACTTACAGCAGTCAGTCGTCGTTTCACCCTCCCAAGCCTCCACCCACGTTGGGAGGACATTGTTGTGTTTGATGGAATAAGCTTTTAGTTGCAGAAGAGCAACCCTCTCATGCTCCAAGCACCCATAGCACTCACTAGCCAAAACCAACAACATTACCCACAACGACACCAACCTCATCTCTATAAACATGATGATACACCTATTTCTTCTTTGCATGTTCTGCACAAACTCAGAATTGCACATTTAGCACCCAAGTGGTCTGAGTCTTTATAAAGGCACTAAAAGCACCATCATACTCTGGGCCCTCCCACTTATTGATTTGACTAATATTTGTGGAAAAATTAAAGCAAACTCTCTCCTCAATATGAATTAAGCGGTTGGCCGGCCTTGATTAACTGTAAACGTGAAATCGCAATATATAGTAAGTAAATTATCATTTGTCTCTTAATCATTTAATAAAAGTGAATTATCATGTATTACTTGAAATTTTTTTCAATACGTTGTAGTCTAATTATCCCCCTTATCATGTGGGTTTTGGGATTTAAAATTCCTACATATTACCACTACTAATATATAAATAAATAATTATAAGGGGAAATTACAAAGAAAAAAGAAAAAAGAGAAAAGAAAAAAGCAAGCAAGCAAACAAACAAACCAGTCTCAATGTTTAACCCTTAACCTTTGTAACAAATTAAGTCTCGAGTTTTTAATTTTATCAACCTAAATCCTAATCTTTTGATTTAGGGCAAATTAAATATACCTCTCTCGAGATTTAGCTAAATTACAGACACCTCCCTGAGATTTCAAAAATTACAGATACCCCATGAGGTTTATATTTTCATAACAAATTGTCCCATGAGGTTTATATTTTTATAAAAATTTGTCCCCTAATTTGTTATGCAAATAGTACCTTTAGGGGGGTATCTATAATTTTGCTAAACCTCGAGGGGGGTATATGTAATTTGCCCCTTGATTTATTTTCAATCTAAATATTTGCATATTTTTGTTAGATAAAACCAACATAAAAAAGAGTATTTTAGTGATTAAATTCAATGTAAGTGTACATAAAATGAGTCTACATTGACAAAATTAAAAACTTTATTTTTATTTTATTTTTAGGGTCGAATCCTGAATTCCTTTAAAATTACCCCTAATTATAATAATAAAAAAAATTATATCACGGCTGGCTAATTTCATATTCATAAATAATTAGACAAAGGAAAATCCTATACAAAGTAACATTATCAACTTTTCTAACTAAATGACATTACCGTACAATAAAGAAATTTTAGAATTTGAAACAGAATGCACTTTAATAATGTGATTTGTGCCATATTAGTAAGTAAAAAAATTTTACAATTTTTTAAATTTTTATAGTATTAAATCTAATCCCATCTCTTACCAAAGCGGTGTCAACCGTAATGTTGCTTTGTTTCAAAATATAATGATAATTTCCACTCACTTGGGCTTTTATTTGCTTGCAAAGTATAGCTAGCTCTATAGAAAAACACTAACATGGACTAATTAGACGGACCGCCCCTCCCTTGAGGTTTTTAACAAATACACAAATCTTAGTGTAATTTTAGAATTAAAGGAAAGGTCCACGTATTTATCAATTCAGATGATTCCATTCTTAGGGTACTGTCTAATTAATCTAATAATGGACCATATATTTATTTTACACAAAAATTTATAACTCACTCTGTACTTAACTTTTTTTTTTTCTTTCCTTTCAAATGTTACTGTTAAAGTTATAGGGAATTTCATTAATTTCTAGAGACATCAAGAGTGTGTATCGTATCCATCTTATTACAAATTGGCACAATTTTATCACAAAATTTTATAATATTAATTACAAAATGTGTAATCTTGTCACAAATTGGTGTTAAAAAAAATATCGTAACCAAGCCACAAACTTTTATTATATGAATTACAAAATTCTAAACATTTTATTATGCTAATTTATGGTTGATGTTACAAAATATGTACCATAGAATTTCCCTAATTTCTATATCTATATATTAACTTTTTAAAAAATTTCTTTTATAATGAGTAGTTAATGTTGAATCATAAGTGTTCACATCATTGAAGGCGACACAAGAAATCGCCCATAGTATTGACATGACCATGCCATAAAGTCATTCAAATCATCCATTTGTGTGGAGCTCATGTGGAATTTATACAAATGAATAATTTGGATGGCTTTGAGACAATGCCAAATGTATATATATATATATTTTTTTTTTTCTAGAAAGTCATAGCAAACTACCTTCCATATAATTGAAGTTGTTGGACGTAATTGATTAAATGATCATTCTCAGTGTTAACCATGTTTTTATATTTTTCATACCTTTTCATATTCCTCTTGGAGGTCTTAATCTATACATGTATCGATAATTCAAATCATCTATTTTGTACGTCTCACAATAAATATTGTTTATGTAAAGTATTAATTTTATCAAACAATTATAACATAAATAAATAACAAAATGTGATTTATTTCTATATTTATAGTTGTTTGATGAAGTTAATTTTTTGCATATATGACTTTTATTTTGTGACCTATAAGATAGACCGTTCAGATTATTGATACGAATTTGAATTGAGACCTACAAAAAATATATATAAAAAGGTATAAAAAAAATTAAAGTATAGAGGAAAGCTCATTTCTACTCTCAAACCGCGTCTGACTTTGACCTCCTTATCATACACTAGTCTACAAAATTATTATTCATATGTAATACCGTGTGGATTTGGGTATCAAAATTTCCTTCATATTAGCATTACTAATAGTTACAATTTATAACTGCAAGAAAAGAAAAGAAAAAAACCCATAATATCATAATATGGCTAATTCGTTTGGCCATAATACTTCATTAGACGTTCAGTAGTTTGAATCTTTCTATCTATGTTTGGATCAATTATATGTTGTATTTAATTTTTATTATTATGATTTTAAATTCATTAGTTTCACTGTAATATCATATATAAATTAAAAAATTAAAATAAAAGCTTTATTCAACATTGTAAAATAGGGTTAAATTTAAATAATTGCAATCCACTATTTATATCATTCAACAAACTACTAACCTACAATAGCTAGAAAGTGATCAACAAATTGACCAAGCCCAACAACCACTAATAATCACATACAATCAACCAACACAAAAGATATCAAACTTTTCTTTATAAAAGCTAAATCCAAAATCTCACACCACAAAAACTACTATACAATTATTGGACCAAATGCCGTGGTGAAATGTTGTTGTAATAGTGCATCTCAAAAATGTAATTATATTGCATACTCACTTTCATAACATCATGCATTTAGTAATGAAGACTTGGAATTAATTTGAAATGAAGACTTGGAATTTGAAATGAAGACTTGGAATTAAGACTTGGAATTTCAACTTCATATCTCAAAATTTGGAATGAAGACTTGGAATTAATTTGTATGATTTGAGAGGACCTTGACTTGGGGTCAACAATAAATATCCCATGATTTTATAAATCTTGAAATTTGCATAAATAAAATTCAAATTGAGTATATTTATTACCGTCAATTTTTTGCTTAAATTTCACTCTCATCATTCTTATTGCAATTTGTCTTAATTTCAAACGAATTTTATTATGAAGTTGAAATATAGAACCCAAGGGTGAGTGGCAACTTGGTAAGGGCCTGGGGTTTAAGCCCCTAGGTCCTGGGTTCAACTCCCCTCTGGGTCAATTTCCTGGGCGTAGCACAGTTGGTTAGGAGGTTGACTTCAAAGATGCCTTATCAGTTACTTGGTGTGGGTTTAATTCTCCCCCGCTGTGCGAGTCTTGACTTAAGCGGAACTTGCCTTAGGAGGTCAGGACAAGCTTCCAGGTTATAATCTCTTACTCGGAACGGACAACAGGACACCCTGGTGATCTCCTCGGGGCGCTGCCTTGGACCTGCGGAAGAGTGAGAGGATTTTCCTGTAACAAAAAAAAGAAATGACAACTTAATGTCTGACACCAAACCTTACATCAAGAGAATCTGGTTTTGTTTATACATTGTTCAAAGGTATGAACAAAATTATAAGTTTTGATTGATTTAAAATAGTGAGGGATGCATTTTTTCGTACACATAAATATACTTTTTGTATGCAAAGTCATTTTTTTTAACTAATCAAAAATTATATTTTGTTTGAAAAATCATACATACTTTTGGCTACGATGTTTGTGTTAATAGTTGTGATTTACTATATTATTAGTTATAACATATTATGATGTTAGTTATAATATTATTCAGTTATGATTTAAGAGTTATTTAATTATACCTGTGATGTTTGATTATAATTCAAATTTTTTTTTTTAGTCATGACTCTCATAATATTGAATTATGTCATTTTGTAATAATCAAATGGGTAAGTTACACTTTGCCTCCCCAAAGGTTCGCCCATTTCTCACGTTGGCTCTTTAAGTTTGATTTTTCTTACTTTGGCCCTTCACAATCCTTCACATTTTGGCCCTTTAAGTTTGATTTTTTTCACTTTGGCCATTTATGAGGAGAGGACCAAATTAAAACTAAATTTAAAGTGTAGGGACGAAACTATTTAATTTGAAGCTATTGGGACCAAAATGAAATTTGAATCAAACTATAAAGGTGAAAAATGTAATTAATCCAAATAAAAAATATTTGGAAAAATTATATATATATATATAAACCATAGTTTGACCATTTTGTAACAAAATAAATTATGAATTTTTGATTATATACTTATATAACATTTGATGGAATGACCTCAATTTCCACCAATTTAATTCCCCTACTTAGTTCATTATAATAGAACAATAACAAATTTACAGTTTTTTTTTTGGGTATGATTTGTTGGTGATAAGATATAATCTTGCAATGACTTTATCTTAATTATAAAGAGTTTATTCCAATGGAAAATTTTCAGGTTCAAATGCCTCTGAGTGTTATTTACACTAAAACCCTTTAAACTATTGAGAACTATCATTTTAATTCTCTAAACTATAAAAGCATAGAAATAGACCTCTTAAATTATTGAGAATTATCACTTTACCCTCTAAACTATAAAAACGTGCAAATGTTTTTAAATTATAAAAATATACAAATTAGACCGTTAATACAAGCGATCAAAGTGAAACACACCAATAGTTTAGAAGGTCTATTTGTACGTTTTATAATTTAGCTGGGCAAAATGATATTTCTTAATAATTTAGGGAGTCTATTTTTATGCTTTTAAAATTTAAGAGGTCAAAGTGATACTTTTCAATAGTTTAGAAAATTTCAGTGTAAATAACCCTGCTTATGAAGGAAAATGGAACAATTTCAGTT